CTGTGTGTGTGCAGGTGGGTGTGTGGTCTACTTGTCTGGTTGTGTCTCTGTGTGTGTGCAGGTGCGGTGTGTGGCCCTGTCTCTGGTTGTGTGTCTGTGTGTTTACCAGGTGGGTGTGTGGTTCCTGTCTCTGGGTTGTGTGTCTGTTGTGGTGCAGGTGGGTGTGTGTCCCGTTCTGGTTGTGTGTCTGTGTTACAGGTGGGTGTGGGTCTACTGTATCTGGTTGTGTGTCTGTGTGTGTGCAGTGGTGTGTGGGTCTACTGTCTGGCTTGCGTGTCTGTGTGTGGTGCAGGTGCGTGTGGGCCCTCTGTTCTCTGGTTGTGTTGTGTGTGTTACAGGTGGTGGTGGGTCTGTCTCTGGTTGTTTTCTGTGTGTGTGCGCGAGGTGGGTGTGTTCCCCTGTCGCGCTCTGGGTGTGTGTGCTGATGTGGTGTACAGGTGGGTGTGTGGTCTTACTGTTCTGGTTGTGTGTGTCCTGTGTGTGTCCAGGGTGGGTGTGTGGTCCGCCTGTTCGTCTGGTTGTGTGTCTGTGTGAGTGCAGGTGGGTGTGTGGTCCCGTCTCTGGTTGTGTGTGTGCGTGTGGGTGTATGGTCTCCTGTCTCTGGTTGTGTGTCTGTGTGTGTCCAGGTGGGTATGTGGCCCCTGTCTCTGGTTGTGTGTCTGTGTGAGTGCAGGTGGGTGTGTGGTCCACTGTCTCTCGTTGTGTGTCTGTGTGTGTGCAGGTGGGTGTGTGGTCTCCTGTCTGTGACTGTGTGTCATGTCTGCGTGTGGTTGTGTGATCCCTGTGCCTGCTCTGTGTTTGTGTGTGTGCACCAGTGTGAGCTGTGTAGGTTGTGTGTGGTCCCCTGTGCCTGCTGCGTGTTTCTGTGTGTGCACCTGTGTGAGCTGTGTAGGTTGTGGTCTGTGACCATGATAGGTTGTGCTTGTGCTTTGCAGAGTTGTTTTGGGTGAGTGCCACTTTTGAGTGTTGCTCTAAGATGGTGTGCGTGGGCAGTTGTTGGGAGACCACAGTGGGTGGTAGGTGCTGTTGTGATGGGGGTGTGACTGTAGTGGTGGGCAAGGGTGGGTCTGAGCTGTGTTCCATGATGTACTCTCCCATGCAGCCTGCCCTGGTGACAGGGGCCCCTGTGCATGATGTGTGTGGCTGTTGCTGGCTGTTTCATGACCTGCACACGTGACATGTGTGTTGCGGCTCTGTGTGCGTGCAGGAATGTCTGTGGCCCTGGGTCAGCTCTCAGCTGCGACACGAAGACAGCAAGGTGGTGTATGAAGTCAGTGCTGATTGCGTTGAGCTGAGTACAGTCAACTTCTTAATAACCAACCCGTGAGGGAGGAGATCTGTGACCCGGAGAAAGGAAACCTGTGCTAGAAAAGGAAAACCAATTACATTGAGCTCTGAAAGCTTCACGATTTGATATTTTTGGCTACCAATTTGCCTTGCCACTTCCTACTCACATGAATGTGTGGTTCTGAAGCCCCACTGCTCAGCAGGGCCTGGCAGGTGCTCTAAGATTTCAAAGGAACCAGGCTGGGTGGGCCAGGTCTCCCCTGGTCCCTAAGAGCTGACCCGAGCTGTGTCCAGTCTTAGCCTTCTTCTGTGAGATGGACTTTAGGTGATTTGTGGATATATCCAAAATGGAATTTGAGGAATGATTTGAATTTCTATAATCTCACGTTATCATCAGTTTAATTTACTTTTTGATGGTGTATAAGGTGCTTTGCAAATTTCACAAACACCTACTACCACAAACACGTGCTCTAACCATTAGAGGGGTCATATTCCTTTATTCTCCAATGTGAGAAAACCACATTTGTACCTCTTTGATGATTTAATTTTATGGCCAGGCATTTAATCCTTAAAATTGGCAGTTATCAATAATCAGAGCCCATTGTAGCTGAACACTGTAATGAATCAGAATAATGAATCAGAATATTTTAATATTTAAGACAAAGCTATTCTGAGTAAGCTGCTTCGTTCTGGATACACACAGTAGCCCCATCATCACATCCGTTTTCAACTGTTACCAGAATGATTTCTACCTTCCTGCTGTCATACCACACCTCCGTCATTCAGCGTTTCTGATTCTTACAGATTTTGTTCAGCCTGTATCCAGATCAAGGAAAGCTCTGGCAGCTGTTGGCCTTGTCACCGCTGGAGAACTACTGTATCCAAAATCCACTCTGAGATGGCCGGCCGCCTGGCTGAGATCTGAAACGCAAGGAGACACTCACGGACGGTTGTGACTGCTGCTGAAGGCCACGGCACAGGCCACTACCATTCCCACCCACCTGAATGTTGTTTCTCCAGATGTTTGATGAGAGATGGGGCCTCAGGACAGAGGGGCGGGGAGCTCCAGGGAGACAGTGGCGGGGTTGGTGGCGGAGCTCTCCGAGCGAGGAAGGGGGAGAGCAGGGCACATTCCAGCCAGGACCTGGCTTTCCCGAGCTCCCGGATACTCCTTTCCCCCCCCATCTCTTGTGCGTTCAGCGTGACCCATCTTCCAGTTCATGCCATCCTGGCTGTGTCACCCGGCTCTGGTGACTGCCGCAGCACCTCCTGCTGTGCTTGCTCTGGCCGTCTTGCATGCCTCAGAATTTTTCGTCAGAAGTCATACACATCCTGTAGGATAGTAGACACAGAGGCCAGTGGTGTTTAAGCTTGGAGATGAGCACGCCTTGACTTCTGCAGGCATTAGTTGGAGGGTTCATGTAAATCTAGCAAGAATTCGGCTGTGTTGAGGTTTGCGGTTGCTGTGGCAACCTGCGGTGCACTGGACACTCAGAATTGCGGGCGCCCTGCCAGCTGTCTGCTAGACCTTGCTCTATGCCCACCCCTGCCACTGGGGTAAGAGCTACTTTTTTCCCCTCCTGCCTTCTCGTAGCTGCAGGAATTCCCACTGCACCCTCCGGCTGCCAGATCTGATGCACTTCCCAAGCAAATGAGGGCCTTTGCTCCTTAGGGGAGATAGAGGCAGCGGGAGAGGGTGAAGCTTGGCATCACCGGGGGATGCTTTCCCGGGATCTTCCCCGGGCTTCCTGTCTTCCTCGGGAGCGTCCGCTGGGGTTCCTGGAGGAAAAGCCTGCGAGAAGATGTGAACACCTCCATCTGTGGCTCTCAGGGGCTGCCACGCTCATGGGAGCCCACACTCGACCTTGAGCAATGTGTACATTTTCTGGTTGAATCCTGCCTGATTCTGAAGTGTGGGGCTGGTACCTGTCCCAGGGAAGCCGCCTCTCCCTACAGTCACCTGTTTTCCTCTAGATTTCAGGCGAGTTGTTTCTGCTGCAGCCTCATTCTGGGATCAGGAGTGGGCGGTTAACTGATGTCCGCCCAGCCTTTTCTGGGTGAAAGGGTGGGAGCGCTGTTTCCCAGCTCTCCCGCGGGGGTCCAGAGCCTCTTTTGGAATGAACGTGGTCAGTAAGGTGTCTGTGCATGAAGGTCCCTGAAGCCGCCGGTGCTGCTAGGGTGGCGGGCTTCCGGGGAGGGTGCTGGAGAGGTGGGACCCTCTGATGGGGTGCTCTGATCAGGCCAAGTATTTTTGATGATGATTGTTTTAAAAGGAATTAATTTAGTTAGCTAAATGGCAAGATTTTTTTTTCTTTAGTCTACTTACTTGATAGCCTCAGTGAACTGAAATTTTAGGAAACTGGCTTGCTTTCCTTGCAGTTGCTGTCATCGGTTGCGTAGCCTTGGTTTCTGTCGTCCTTCTGGCAGTCTCACTGCATCTTCCCAGGGCACCCTCTCCTCAGCCAGCGACCTGCCCAGCAGCCTTCCAGAAAGGCCTGGCGCTGGAGGCTTTCTGGTGGGTGGGGGCGCACTGGTCATGGTTTGTGCTTCCCTCTGCTCCGTGGACAGAGGCACCCACAGTTTTAGAAGCTCCCATTTCCATTGGGGTCAGGGCGGTGCTGATGTCAGCTGAGCACGTGTGCACGTGTTTGTATTTTCTTCATCACTTTAAAACTGTGCCTGAGCCTTAAAGTATCTCCGTGTGAGAGAACCAATGAGCTGTGTGATGCTGACAGACTTTGTTTCTCATTCTTGGGCCTCGACCTCTGCATCGCTTCCCCAGGATGAAGAAAGGCAAGACGTGCCCTGTGTTCCTGGACCCCTCATGAAGTTCCCAGGACACGCCGCCCTCCTGGGCACGACTTCCCGCAGTGGGCAGGGGAGATAGAGCAGCCAGCCGCCAGGCTGACCCAGGAACGTGAAGAGGGGAGGCGGGATCCTGTCCAGAAACCGTCCTCGGTGGGACTCAGGCAGGAGGGGGAGATTTCGGGGAACACTGGCACTGAACCTGATCAGTCAGTGGAGATCACAGAGGCCAGCACGACAGCTTAGGGCACCAAGATGGGACGATAGCCTCAGCCCTCTGTTCATCCCACCCGGGACCCAGGGTGTCCCCTTTATTCGAAGGCATTTTGCCGAGTTCCTTGTCGAGCAGCCTGAGTGCCCCAGGCCCACGTGGGACCCCGCGGCCTGAGTGCATCCCCGCAGGGGCAGGCCAGCTTGCCTTTCTTGGCAGGGGTGGGGATGGGTGGGGGCAGGGAGTTCTCGCCTGCTCCCTGCGTGGCCTTGGAATTTGGACGAAGAGGGAGAGAGCCTGGGAGAGCTGAAGGCCGCAGGGGGACGATGGGTCACCAGCCACGATGGGGGTGATTTGAGCCTCCAGCAGACTCCTTGGAAAAGGGCAGCATTCCCGGCGTTCCCAGCGTTCCCAGGGATTAACAGCGGTTTCTGGAAACTCATGGACCCTCTCGAAAGACCCTGAGCTTTGTGAAGGCTGCAGGCCTGGGGTCTGCTTGGGGAGGAGGGGAAGCCAGCTGGACCCCGCCCCCGACAAGGTGATTCTCAGAGAAAGGGCGCGCAGTGTAGACGTGAGGTAGGAGGGGCCTCGGGCTGGTTGGAAAGGCCCAGAGCAACATCCTCAGGGCTGTTGTCTGAGCAGGGAGCTCTGAGGCCTCCTCCCGGCCCTCTGGCCTGTCCTCTGGAGGAGCCTGGGTGAGGGACACCGGGGGTGGCTGCTGTGAGGGGAGAGCTTCTGGAGAAAGCACCACTCTTCTTTAGCTGGTGAATGGCACAGCCACCTTTCTTTCGGAACCTCAGTGTCTCCCGCAGCACAGTCGGGCTGTGTGGGTTCCGTAGTTGCAGGGTCTGTTTTAGAAGCCTGTAATTGCAGCACCTGAAGTGCTTTGTCCCTGAATGGTTATCTGCGGGAGGCCTGTCAGAGGCTCCCAGGGCAACGGGCAAATGAACAGAAGCCAGCAAACTTCCACAAGCAGGTCAGTTATGGGCGCCCTCCCTTCCTTCCGCTCTCCCTTCTTTTCCTCCCTCCCTTCCTACTCTTCTTTGCTGCCTCCTCTTCTTTCTCCTCTCCCTTTCTCTCTCCTTCCCTTCTCCCCATTCTCCCCCTTCTCTCCCTCCTTCCCCCTCCCGTCTTTCCTTTTTCCCAGGTGATGCGTTTTGTATCACACCCAGCGTGGCAGCCTGAGCTCTCAGAGGATGTGGAGGAGACTGTGATTCAGAGGGGAGGAGAAAACACCGTTTCCCCGCCCTCTTAGCGTCTCCAAGCAGGGCCCTGCAGAGTAGACACGAAGGACAGGTTAACAAGGAAAAGGCACACTCATGTGTTTCATATAAGTGTTACCTGACCAGAAACAGCTGAGCTTGGGGTTCTGCTGCTAGGCTTGATGAAGAGTGGAGACTCGTGAAAGGTGTGATCGGACGAGAGCACGTGAGAAGCGCAGGAAACGGGCCGGGAGGGGCCCTGGCGAGGCCTGTCCGTTCAGGTCCCTCTTGGCCTCCCTCCATCTTTGGAGCTAAGGATGCACCCTTCCCCCGGTGTGGGGGGCGCCTCTCATACGAGGGTCACGACCTGCTTCAGGGGAGTTAGGTCTGGAATGAGGGCTGAGATGTGGGCAATGGGAAAGGCAGGAAGGTTGTGTTGATGGCTGAGGGCATGGGGCACCTGGGGAAACGCGTTTCTTCGCACGCCGTCAGAGGAGGGTGTGTGTCTGGCGGGCGGTGGGAACATGGGGTTCCTCCTGCCTGCTTTATGGTTCTCCTTGACACTCCCCCAGCCGTGAACCTCAGCAGCCACGGGGACTCCACGCTGCTGCAGGTGGACCTGGCCGGGGCCCTAGTGGCCGGCGGGCCCAGTCGTTCTGGGAGGGAAGAGCGCCTCCTGGTGGAGCTGACCCAGGCCGACACTTCCGGCTCCAGGTGGCGGCGGCCACAGCAGGTTATGCTGATAATTTATTTGAAAGGATTGTGAAATCTCATTTCATCTCATAATAAATTGTGTTTCCTCTTGAGTGGATTTGATGGGGAGCCACAGGCGAGGACACCATTCTTAGTCAGTTCATTGGCTCTTCTTATCTTTTGCTTTGTCTTTGAAATTCTCTGTTTACCATTTCTCCATTTATCAAATTCTTGCCATTTCAGTACAATCAGGCTTGCAAGTTCTTTATTCAAAACTGTTTTGCTGGGCCATTCAGGAAATATACATTTGAAATGAAAAAACTTTTTTTTTGGTGTTGTAAAAGTGCAGTTAAGTCTGGGCCTTACGTCATGGTTCAGAAGACAGTTCCACAGCACATTACTGTGTTTGTGGACACCTGCCTAAGTTCTGAGCTGCTGCATCTGTGTAGGCCTGTGCGCAGCCCTGTCTCTGAGCCTTGTCAAGCCTTCATTCACATCCTGCAAAGGCAGCCGGGGAGCGGTGTCTGTCATGGCAGCCCAGAGCCTAGACTCCAGAGGCAGGGCCCCTTCCATGCAAGCCTGGCCCCCGAGCCCTGGCCTCGGAGACTCCACTCTGCATTATCACGGTGACTTCTCCGTGGAAGTCATAGCCCCGGTTCATGGATGTTCCGTTATAACCAGTAGCAGGAAACCCCGCCCATGCGCAGGCTGCATCACCTGCAGTGGAGCGTGTGAGGAATGAATGCACCCTCACCTTTCCTGCCTTGCAGAGCATGGTCCACAGAGCTAAGGTCTCGTTATGAACTAGCATGCAGTGTCCTGGACCATGCCTGACGCAACACAGATGTTCTGAACCGGCTGCCCTGGCCAGGGTCTTAGGATGTCAGCTTGGTTCCCCGTGTGAAGAGCAGAGCCCCTTAGCAAGGGGCTCCTTGGTGATGAGCGATGGCCTTTGCCCTCTGACCTGGACCTTGCATGGAGAAGGGCAGGACCTCACCCAGCCTGCGGTCCCGCTGCCTCCCCAGCACTTGCATATTAATAACCCAGGTTAAATGATCTGTATGGCACCTCCCTGCTCTCTGGGGTGGCCCTTCCCAACGTGCTGATCCAAAATGCCTACGGGCACCCAAAATGCCCACAGGCAAATCCAGCCCCAGAAACATGGAAACACAAGAGATCTTTACTAAAGGATTTTTCCCCCAGACACGTTCTTTGCAAACAATGAGGTACTTAAAAGAACTTCTGTTCTCTCATGCATGTGCTTCTTTGCTTTGACCAGTTTCAGAGATCCTGTTTTCAGTGTCCTTTGTGATTTGTGGGTGAGATTCGCATCTTCCCATTGAGGATTCCCCTCCCTCCCCAGGCTGCCTCCCTAGCTGATCACTGTCCTGTACCCCAGGGGCAAGAACGTGCAAGGCAGGGAATGAAGCTTCACCCTGGGGCCCTTCCTTGCAGGGGCTCCTGTGCACAGGGGTGTGGGAGGTTTGCGGGGGGGTGGGTTTGTTGCCTCCAGGTTGCAAGCAGTTGCAGAAGCAGTTCTCAGGACTCAGAGAGCTCAGAAGAGTCCTCCAAGTCTCTAGTAACTTGGAGTGATTCATTTTTTAAATTTAAAAAATTTTTAGAGTTGGGGATCTCACTCTGTTGCCCAGGCTGGAGTGCAGTGGTGTGATCACAGCTCACTGTAACTTTGAACTTCTGGGCTCACGGGATTCTCCTGCCTCTGCCCCTAAGTGGCTGGGACCACAGGCACATGCTACCAGGCCTGGCTGATTTTTAAAATTTTTTTGTGCAGACAGGGGTCTTGCTCTGTTGCCCAGGCTGATCTTGAACTCTTGGCCTCAAGTGATCTCCCACCTTGGCCTCCCAAAGTGGGATTACAGGTGTGAGCCACCGTGTCTGGGCGTGATGTGTTTTTCTTGTATTAAATCACTACTTCTATGCCTTTTGCACTTTTTTACACTAATTGCATTTTTTCTTTCGAATCCTTTTTCTTAAAGAAAGCTCTCCAAATTGTGGAAATTCCCAGCTCCTAACATCAGAGCTAACATAGGAGCAGTAGCTTCTAACATCAGAGATGTGAGAGCTCAAATAAAGATGCCCCCATTTCTTTCTTTCTCCTCTTATTTGAAACAATTACCTAGAGCGAGCAGTGCCAGATCCCAGATGGTGTCTCAGGTGAAAAGCCTCACCGTAACTTTATGCTTTGGCTTGTACAGGTCACTCACAACTGGACGGTGTATTTAAATCCGAGGAGAAGCGAGCGCTCGGTGATGAGCAGGACCTTTGAGGTACTGGGCAGGTGAGTTCTCAGTGAGTGAGATGTTGGGGCAGGCTCTCCGGGACACACGCGTTTAAAGGAGTCTGACCTGCAGGACACTGAGTTTCGGGCCACGCAGCACCCGGTCAGCATGTGGCTTGGACACGGCGCTCATGCTGTGTAGACAGTGAACTCAAAGGCTGTGAGAAGGCATCGTAGCCGTGGGTGTCGGGAGGTAGGAGGGTTGACTGCAGAAGTCATTTTGAAGCAAATGGCAGTTTTTGGTTGATGTTCTAATTTCGTTAATATTGTGAAGCTGTACAGTGGAGAGTTCTAGGAAATTTAGGTTTCTTATTCCTTAACTAATGCTGCTTCATATTCAATCGGTACTCTTGGTTGGCGTATTAGACAGCTAAGGCTGCCGTATCGTAGCACTACACACTGGGTGGCTTAACTGTCAGACATTTACCTTGTAATTCTAGAGGCTGGAAGTCTGAGGTCAAGGTGTCGACAGGGTCAGTTTCTCCCAAGGCCTCTCACTGGCTTACAGGTGGCCATCCCTCTGTGCTTGTCTTCTCATCTCTCCTTGTATGGACACCCATCCTACTGGATTAGGACTCATCCCCATGACCTCATTTAACCTTCCTCACCTTTTTAAAGACCCTGCCTCTACCTACAGTCCCATTTGGAGGTACTGGGGTTAGGACTTCAACCTAGGAATGGTTTTTGGAGGAAGGGGACACAATTCAGCCCATAAAATGTATTGACTGAACTTGAAAAAACGCTCTGGTGTCCGCCACCGACCTGTGGTCGCTTGCAGGCTTCTCGTCTGGAGTGTGTCTCCTCACAGAGACTGGAGTTCAAACAGCTGGCTTTGCTCTTAGTTAGCAGGTGAAGTGGTTGGGTATGTTGGGGAGGAGGAAGAGCCAGTTCAATGGCTGGCGTCTTCTGTGCAGGCCCCTACTCACTCTTCACTGTCAGGTGGTGTCACAGGGAGGCTTAGGGGCCTGCTTGGACCGGCCCGGCTTGGCCGCAGGGAGGCTGCATCCTGTGTCTCACGCCGCTGGCCTGTGCTCACTGCTCTTCCAGCTGTGAGATCGGGCATTGGGCTGAATCGTTCTGAGATCCATTTGGATTCTGGTTAATGTCTGGCTGATATAGAGGGAGGTGCCCTAACTGTTGACCTTGTGAACAGTGAGGTCGTCGTTTCGTTCTGCAGAGAGACGGTGTCCATCAGCATCCGGGCCTCCCTCCAGCAGACCCAGGCTGTCCCTCTTTTGATGGCTTATCAGTACCTCCGTGCGAGTGTAGAAGCCCAAGTGACCATCGCCACGGCCATCCTCGCGGGCGTCTACGCGTTGATCATATTCGAGGTAACTTTCACACCTGCCCCCCCGATCTGTCTGGGCCCACCGTCAGGGAGGCTTGAGACCTCCGACACTCTGGATGGGCTCGGTCCTGACTCCTAAATCTAACTGGACTAGTGTCATCATTCCTGAAGATTAGCGTGTCCCTCTCTCTAGGTAGAAAGGGAACCATACAGGAATATTTGCTGAATCTTGGCAACTGACATGAGAAGGATGGGTTTTAGGAGCAGAAGTGTACCTGAGAAAACAGAATGTGCGTTCGATTTTCTACCTTCTCTCCACTGCTCACTCCAGGTGTGACCATGAGGGAACAAGAGTTGCAGTCTCCTCTGAGACTCAGAGTCTGCACCTGTGTGATGAGTACACTCATTTGCGCCCACCTGCACCGTGGGATTGTGTGTGTGAGGGGACATGGATGGCCTGAGGCTGTGTGCCCAGAGGGATTATCTGATTATCTGTTCTGTCTGCCAACTTGGCTCATGGGCATTTCCACATGTGATCTTAAGTCCAGTCAATGTGATGTTTCTGGAAAGTTCTAAGTGTGGCTGTGCCTTCAACAGCACAAAGCAACGTGCAGACCCTTCCTGGGCTGGGCAGATCCATTGTTGATTTAACTATGAAATCAAACTTCCTCACAACACGGACAGGAGCCCGGAAGGTCAGTGCATGACGTGACCGTTAGAGGGGCCTCCTAGTGAACTTGGGATAGGTCTGAGAAATACCTGGGATGTTGAGGAGATGGCAGGCTGGAGGAGTGGCCCGGAAAGTTCCAGAATTTTGCCTGTGGTTGTTGAGTCTACCTGCTGAGGAATGATGACCCCAGTAAGTTGAGCCCTTACCTGTCTTAACAAGGGCCACTCACGGGATTGTTATCTCTTACATCTCTTCTGTTCTAGAACAGTTTTGTTCCCTCCGTTTTCTATCCGTTTTCTTTTAAATCAATATTAATGTTTCACGGTTCCCATGACCACCCTGTGATTTGACACAGGAACTCGCAGGCTCAGGGGCAGCTGTCCTCTGGGCTGGGGTTTACTGCCATGCCTGGCAGTGGAAACCTGCTGAGCCTGGAGGAACCCAGGAGCGGGCTTCTGAAAGATCTCCTCTCCTGGGAGGGCCCACACAGAGGATGCCCCTCCCTCCAGCAGCCAGAGACAGCCCTGTGCAGTGTTTCTGCCCCGGGCAGCCTGTTGGAGCCTGAGTTTTTGTGGGGCCGATTAGATGGTCACCCTCAGCTTACCAAGATCCCGACTCCCAGAAGGCAGGCAGGTGCACACCATTTATAAATTACATTTTATACAGTCTGGGCATGCAGGACATGCCCAGAACACACTGGGAACAGAATACAGCAGAACACACCGTCCCAGGCCCACAAGACAGCCCTCTCCTCGGTAACAAGGGAACGGTCCCAAAGCTGAGTACCCCGAAGCCAGCCAAGGGCCCTTCTAACGGTGGTGTCCTCAGACCAGGCAAAGTCTTTACCACACCACCATCTAGTTGACAAATCCTATTCTGTTGTTCTGTAGAATGTTCTATACCCTGATTCAGCTGCTGGGTTCCTCATGGGATTAATTAGCTGCTCTATCCTATTTCCTACAGACTACAGTTGAGATCTGAAGCCTGCAGGTTCCATTTTGGGGTGCCCATGCTTCACAGGTGGGCAGGGGTCTGGGCTGCGTCCGGGAGGAGGACCCTGTGTCTGGATGTCCCGCTGTCAGGGGTGCGGAGAATGTCCAGGGAGTTGAGGTGGTGGAGAAAGGTGCCCAGCTCCCTGCCACCTTTTCTCTTAATGATTTTAATACCCACTAGGGCCCACTGCCCGCCTAAGATAAATCCTATTTCTGTAATGATCAACTTTCTTAGTAATGAGCTCTTCCCTTAGTAACTTCCAGTGGTGTCCACTGAATTTATTTAGTTTCTCTCTTCCCCTTTTTTACTATTATTTTGCAATTATAGATTTAATAAATTCAATGTGCTTTAGTTAACAGTCATTAATTAAAAAATAAAATACAATGCCAATTATTTTTAATGGGCTTCTCTGTTATTCTAGGGTTTGTTCACCTTTTTTGTAAAATTGTTCAACCTTCGAAAACTACATAATTAGCAAAGATTTATTAATTTTTATTAATTAATGGTCATTATTATTAGTCATTTAGGAAAAAACCTCTCCTTCTCTACAAAAAGCCATCTCTAGATTTTAAAAGTTCTGTAAAGAGGCCAGTTCGACATGGTTTCTGCCCTTGTAGAAACAAAAAGCAGAGGCCACCACACACAAACCAGCCACACACAGAAGGGAGTGCGGCAGGGTCTCAGGAAGGGCCTTGGAGGGCAGTCCCTGTATTCCACGAGCAGTGTGGCAGCCCAAGACCTCCAGAGGCTGCCTCCCCATGCAGCCCGTCCGTTTCCTGGCAGTCTTTCAGCAGGTCTCCCTACACGGCTTCCTCTACACATCTGGTGGTCCAAGGCCCTTCCGTCATAGCTGTCCACGTGCCCCTGCCCCAAAGACCACATGACAGGGTGTGGTCTTTCTATTGGTGTGCAGTGATATCTTACTGTGCTTTCAACTTAATTTCTCTCATGATGATAATGTTGGACATTATCTTTTCATGTATTTATTTGCCACCTGTGTATCTTCTTCAGTGTGATGTTTGTACATGCCTTTTGCTTATTTTCTAATTGAATTGTTTGTTTAAATGTTGAGCTTTGACTGTCCTTTATATATTATAAAGACTTTGTTGGATATGTGGTTTACAAATATTTTCTCTTAGTCTAGTTTATAATTTTTCTTTTCTTTTCTTTCTTTTTTTTTTTTTTTGGAGACAAAGTGCTGGGATTACAGGTGTGAGCCACAGTGCCAGCCTTTTTTTTTTTTGAGATAGAGTCTCCCTCTGTTGCCCAGGCTGGAGTACAACGGCCTGATCTCGGCTCATTCCAACACTATCTCCTGGGTTCAAGTGATTCTCCTGCCTCAGCCTGCCAAGTAGCTAAAACTACAGGCGTGTGCCACCACGCCTGGCTAATTTTTTTGTATTTTTTGTAGAGACGGGGTTTCACCATGTTGGCCAGGCTGGTCTCAAACTCCTGGCCTCAAGTGATCCACCCACTTTGGCCTCACAAAGTGCTGGGATTACGGGCATGAGCCACCGTGCTGGGCCAGTTTTTTTCTGTTATAGATTGTGGTTTGGCTGTCAAGTCTAAGAACTTATTGCTTAGTTGCAATAATTCCAGAGTCCAAAGATTGGTTTTCTTTTTTTTTTTTTTTCAGTTTTACTTTTAAGACCAGGATCTATTTTGAGTTAGTTTTATTATTATTATTTTTTTCTTTGAGACAAAGTTTCACTCTGTCACCCTGGCTGGAGTGTGGTGGCATGATCACAGCTCACTGCAGCCTCAAACTCCTGGGCTCAAGTGATCCTCTCGCCTCAGTCTCCCAAGTAGCTGGGACTACAGGTGTGCAATACCATAGCTGGCTAAGTTTTAAACTTTTTTTGTAGAATTAGGGTCTTGCTATGTTGCCCAGGCTGGTCTTGAATTCCTGGCCTCAAGAGATTCTCCTGCTTTGGTTTCTTAAAGTGCTGAGATTACAGGTGTGAGCAACTGTGCCAGGCTTTGAGTTAATTTTTTGTATTTGTGTGAGAGTTTTAAGTGAAGGTTCATTTTTAAACCTATGAATGTCCCATTGGGTCAGCACCATTTATTGACAAGACTATCCCTCCTCAATTGAATTGCATTTGCTCCTTGGTTAAAAGTTAATTGGACATATTTGTGGGGTATATCTCTGGGTTCTCTGTTCTGTCCCATTGGTAATGTGTCTGTTCCTCCACCAGTACCACACTATCTTGATTATTGCAGGTGTCAGTTTGGACACTGGGAAGAGTGATTCCTCACATTTATTTTTTTTTCCAAAATTGTTCTGACTATTCTGTGGCCATTTTTTCCCCATATACATTTTCCCCTCTTCTTCCTCCAGCTTTATTGGAATAAAGTTACATTTCTATTTTCTAGGACTTCAATTGCTTTTTCATGTGGTGCTTTGACATCCACATTTTAGAATGGCTTTCTAGTCCCAAAACATAGTATTTATTTTGGTTTTCTTTGATTTTTAAAATAATTTTCATGATGCTGATCTTGCACATCTTTTCTTAATTTATACCTGTTTCCTTTTCTTTGGAGCAATTGTAAATGGTACTGAGTTTTTATTTTGATTTCCACTTATCTATTGTCAGTACATATAAATGCGCATTTTTCTGTGTGTTAATCTTGTACCTTGTTATTTTATTGAATTTATCTATTCTCAGAGTTTTTAAAAAATAAAATTATTGAGATTTCCTATGTAGACAATCATGTCATTTGCAATGAGGACAGTTTTATTTCTTCTTTTCCAATCTGTATGTCTAATTTCTTTTTCTTGCCTTATTGCAGTGGCGAGTATGAGAATGGTAAGATTGGCATTGTTCTCAATCTTAAAGGGAAAACGTTCAATCTTTCGCTATGTAGTATGATATTATTAGTTTTTTGTAGATGCTCTTCATGAGACTGAGGAAATTCTTTTCTTTTCCTAATGTACTAAGAGGGTTTTTTTTTCTGTTGTGTTTTTTCCTTTCTTTCTCTCTCTTTTTTTAAAACCATAATTGGGTGTTGAGTTTTGTCAGCATCTTTTCTGTGTCGGTTGATGTGCTCATATGGGTTTTTCATTAGCTGCTTGATATGGTGGATTACATTGATTTATTTTAGAAAATTGGACTAGACTTGCATACCTGGAACAAATCTTTCTTTTCTAATGTGAGCATTTGTTACTATAATTTTCCCTGTCAGCACTGCTTTAGCTGCATCTTACAGGTTTTGATCTGTTGTGTTTTTAGTTTCAGTTAGTTCTCTCTAATTCTTAAATTTCCCCGAGACTTTCACTTTGACCCATAGATTATTTAGATGTGTGTTTTTTAAATTCTGGATATTATAGATTTTCCTGTTGTCTTTCTATTACTAAATTATAGTTTGATTCACTTATA